GGAAATGACAGTGATAGAAATAACATTTTTAACATACTTTAAAGAAAATAGCCAACTTTTTTATTTGCTATGGCTAATTTTATAGCTAGCATTTTATATGTTTGAAATACATTTTTTCAAGATTTTCTTTCTTTATTTTCTTCACACAGTTGTCTCTATTGTCTAACTTTTAAAAAACTTTAGGGCCAGAATTGTTTATGCTGGTGAAAATGCCACAATTGAAATATTTTTTTAATTATTATGATTTATTTTTTAAAAATAAAAATGTCATATAAATAAATTTCACACAATATATTGTTTTGGTTTAAAACTTGAGTTATTTCACTCCTAATGATAGATTTTCATAATTTATGGTTGAAAATCTGGGTCTGGGACAAGATTAAAACAATAAAATCTTTACATAAAAGACATATTAAAAAATAGAGTAAATAATGAAGTCAATGAATAAAGTTTCCAAGACAGTTTTAATGTGATCTTCAAGTTAAAATCAGTTGGTCTAAATAAAAAGCAAGTCCTGGGATATAAGAAACACCCATGTATTGTTTTTCCAGTGATTTGTCTATTAAATATGTCTGAGGCTTCTTAATGATCTTAAAATGGAAAGTATGTCTTCAGGAAGCAGAGCTCTGTTGTCTGTCTGCATTGTCTCATCGGTCTGAATAAATTTGACAGCAAAACATTAGGTCAGCTATGTTAACTCATTAGGGCCATGAGAGTGCTCTCATATTTTGGCTTTCAACTTCGTCTCGGGTCTGTGAGTCAGAGTCCTCTTCAGTCCTCTTCAGACAAACACACATGCACACAAACCGCATGTGACATGCACACTCACATGAACCAATATTTGTGGCAAAGAGCTGGGTGTCTCCAAAATGTCAGAACTGCATGATGTTTTTGCATTTGCAGGCTGTTTGCGTGTGCTCTTCTGAACTCAATAGTTTGGGTTACATGCTGGGTGTCTTGTTTTACATTTGCTCCATAGAGCTGGCACTGACAGGCAGACGGCATGCCACAGGCGAGGTCAGAATTGCTAGCCGTGACGCAACCCTCATGAGGCTTTAGCATTTTAAAAAGGGAAACAACTTTGTTTTGGATTGGATCCATCCTACTATGTTTGTCTCATAACATGAATCTTTTCTTTTCGCAGTGTTTTGAAGGTATAGTTCTCCTATGTTGTTCCAAATCTGTGTGACTTTCTTTCTTCTGTGGAGTACTAAAGGAACAATATTAAATAATGTATTCTCAAAGCTATCATATGACTTTGAAAGACACGGAATATGGTGCACGAGTCTTATGAACCACTGTTATGATACTTTAATGCTGCTTTTTTGTCATTTCGGAGCTTGACAGCCACAGTCCCCAATTTTTTTTTTCATTATATTAAAAAGATTGGCCAGGGTATTCTTCACAAATTTCCACAGAAGAAAGAAAGCCATACAGGTTTTGGTGCTAAAGAGATATTAAGAATGAATTCTGTTAAATCCTTTTTAAATATTAAATCTGAAGCTTTGAGTGTTTCTTTATTTTGTTGATAACTTCAGTACTTAGAGCTTACAGGGATTTAAAAGTTATTTTCATGGCTGTAAGTATATACTTCAACTGAGCACAGGATTATATTAATTGATTTTGAACAACCTTGTGAAATGAGGTTGTACTTTTTGTGGAGTTGATTATAATTAGTTCTGTTTGGTGAGTAAAGGCCATTTTAGTTCTTTGGCAAGAAGAAATATTTTTATTGATCTTTTTTTCATGCTGCTTCGACTTAGTCTTAACAGATTTACAAAGTAGTTTGGAAATGGTTATTGCATTAAAAACAATTGCAAGATAATTGTTTTTGTCACTGCAGGAGGTTGTAGTGCAAAGCTGTGAATGTCTTTTAAATGTTGCTGTTGTGCAGAATTTTTGTAATGTATTCTATAATTATTTTATGTACTTTATGTGGACTTATAATTGGGTCTATTTGGTGATAAAAACCCTTGCTGTTCTTTTTCTTTTTCTAAAGAATTAATGTTTAGTAATCATTTGTTTCATATTGCTTTGCCTAATGCTTTTAAGACTTTTATCATATTTAGGAAGTAGTTTCAAAATGGTAATTGCATTAAAAAAAATTACAAGATAATTATCACTGCAGGAGGATGTGGTGCAAATTTGTGAATGTCTTTTAAAAGTCGCTATTTTGCAGAATTATTCTTTATATATTATATCATTATTTTATGTATTATATTTTTATTTTATATATTTTTATTAATATTTTATTGATAGGTGCAAAGTGCATGATGATGAAAAATATGTATTTATTTTAAAAGATTTATGTAAATATAAAGGGTGCAAATTGCATGATGATGGGAAAATATCTATTTATTAATTCAAAAATAATGATAATAGTGTTAATGTTAAATGCAAGTAAAAGGGCTTTTTATTAGTTGGGTTTGGGCTATTATGATATAAGGTACAATTATGGACAATAGTGATTGTGCATTGGAACCTATAAAGTTTTATTGTTAAAAATTATTATTATAAACTTCATTTGACCAAGGACAAAAACTTGTCGGAGATTAAAAATCTCTTTTACAAGAGTGTCCGGGCTGACATATGTAGCCAAAAATAACACGTACAGATATTATTTAGCTTCCTTTTTTATTCCACACATAAATGGGAACAAAATGTCAGCAAGTGTGATGATTTAAAGTAAATTAAAATTAGTTAAAGTTAATTAATGAAAATGAATGAAATTTAATTTGAGTATGTTTAGTCCCTAACTGTAGTTTGAAATGTTTAGCCTGTTGCTTAGCACTTCTGTATGCAATTTAATTATTATCAGTGTAAATGCTGATTTCTACTCCTACCGAGAGGCACATTAATTTTCAGTCTGTCATTCTCTTCTGGAAAGCAGTAGGTACACACAGTAGGTGCTATAACAAACTTTAAATTCTTCTTCTTTGTGTTCATATCATATGATGGGAAGATCCATCTTTTAACCTACTTACACTGATCTGTCAGTTTCTGCAGTTCTCTCCCCTCTTTTCTTATCTCGATACAAAACAACAGTGTCAGTGAAACAGTTTAGATTATTATCTGAATCTGAAGTCATTTGGAGCACAACAAAATAGAGGACACCTATTTAGAGTATCTATTTGCATGTAAGTGTGGTCATGTTGAGACTACCTGAATTACATGGTGAACTGAACTTCTAAACACAATAATGGAGGGTTTTTGTTATTCGTTGTCTGTTTCTCAGGAGATCAAAGTATCTGAGTTTCCTGAGTTTCTTTTATCCTTACAGTCTTGCTGTTTGATTTCTAGCCAGTAAAACATTGTGGCCTCTTTTCTCAATGGCTCAGTTTGAATGTATACGGTTTTTCTGCTGAATAGAGGCTAAGCTCTGATTTAATGTGAATGTGCTTTTCAAGCCTCATGACTAACCTTCAGTTTTGCTAATTCGAGCAACAGTTCCAAAATCCTAATTTGAGATTGCTGATGCAATTTGGAAATAATTGAAAAATCAAAGTAAGCTACAAATAAAATTGTAAAGATTAGCATCAAGGATTGATTTTTTTAATTATTCAGTGATTTTGGATGTGCATTTGAAAGGCTGGTAGCCTAAAACAGACTTCTTTTTTGTATGTTTACATGATGGCCCTTTAAAAGGCATTTATAGTTCATGAAAGCAGTGTCGCCTGATCTCATGTTGGTTTCAGATTGTCAGTGTCTGCAGTGGCAAAGATAAATTATTATTCTCCGCAGGCCAACTCTTTGCAGTGGCTGTAATTAAATAACTTCTGCTGTTAATTAGCACTTTTTAATTGCGTGCATTGGCCTTTCATCATTCTTTGAGCATTGCCAGGGCACTTTCCCTCTGTTCTGCCTGCGTACTCAGCATTCATAGTTCTGCAACCTGTTATATTTTCTTAGTATTTGAATTTGATGGAGTGGAAGGTAGATATTTGCTGCCTAGGCAGCTTGATGGAGAGTTTGAGCGAAAAAGATTAGCTATACTCAAGACCTTGATGGGATCACTGACTTGATGAATGCCATTGCAAAGTACTATGGCGCTATACCATAATACTATAGTACTGAACAATACCATATTCATATTCTGCGGTACATACACAGTACACCCAGGTACTTTAAAATATGTGGTATGGCCATGGTACATGTCCCAAAAATATGGAATTGCCTTGATATGTGGTCAAAACCCCATAATGTTACTATATCAAATAGTTTTTGGTAAAACATTTTTCATTGTGTTGTACCTCATTCGTGTAAGGTGAAAATTGAGCAAAATTGTTAGTATTTAGTAAATAATAATTATTTTTTATATTTTCATATTTCTCATATTTATTATTATTACTATTATTTTTATTGTAATTATAAATGTTTATTGTTATTATTAATACTATAATTGTATTGTTATTGAAAATTTATTGAAATATTTATATATAATAATATTATCATTTTAATATGTATTGTTGTTGTTGTTGTTTATTTTTTTAATTGTTGTTATTATATTTTCATTAATGAATAATAACAATAATACTTTATAAATAATAATAGTGATAATTATTATTAATAATAAATTACATAGATGTTGATTAATAATAATAATACATTCAACAATAATAATTTAAATGTTTATGAGTAATAATAATAGTTATTACTGTTTTTATTATTGCTTCTATTATTTTTATTGTTATTTAACAACAACAATAGTAAAAAATTATAATAATATAATAATATAATTATTATTGTTGTTGTTAAATAACAATAACAATAATATTAGAAGTAGTAATAATAACAGTGATAAATATTATTAGTATTCATTATTGTTATTATTAAATTGTTATTAAATTATATAAATTATATTCAGTTCCTACATTATTTGTTTTCACTAATTCAGCATGAGTGAAAATTAGTTAATGTTAAAGACGTGATGACCATGCTTACCCAGAAGCCCTTGAGCCAACACTAACACTGCTAACACTTCTTTGCGTCTGAACTTTCAGAGAAACCACTGAAAGATGGGGATGACACAGCTGACCAGTCCCTCTCAGACTCTCTTTTTGCACACTGGGGTCATGACCTCGGCCCAGAGAGCCGCAAGGTGGCCCTGAAGAAGTTCCAGTACTACGGTTACAACGGCTACCTCAGCGACAGACTCTCTCTAGACAGAGCCATCCCAGACCTCAGGCCCGACGGGTGAAACAATCACTCACTACTCACCGACCGCCTTCTTCTCTCTCCCTCCTGTTAGCATATGTGTACACAGCCTTTGTTCTTTTAGAAACATCGATTTTCCTTTATCATCATGGTCATAGAGAACTAAAGGAATCACTTAGAAGAAGATAAGATACAGAAATTTTCTCATAAATCATCAGTCTCTCTTTTTTTTGTTATTAAATAGTTCCCTTTCAGTCGGTCACTCCCGACGTGACGTCTCCGTTCCCTCCTTCAGGGAACGAGGGTTACCATACGTAACCGAGACGTTTCATGGGCACAATTGTGTGTCAAAAAAAGCCTCAAACAATAAAACAATTTATCATTATATTTTATATATTTTATCTCATGCAGCTGTGGGAGACAATGGAATGATAAATCAAGAATAAATTCAAATTTACGTATACATTTTTTTGTTTAATATAACAATACAAACTGTACATTACAATAGTTATATATGTATTAAATTATATATATATATATACGCTGTATATTATAAATATTTGAATGATTTATTTTTACTTTCTATGCAATGCAAAGATCAATTGATTAATTTTGCTTATAACATATAATGTTTTTTTTATGTCACATCCATACGGATGTGGATTTATACGAGACAGAGCAATAAAACATTTGGCACAGACATCATCTTTCAAAGTGTCAAACTGGAATGAAACACCTCCAGTTATATAATTGTTTATATGTAAAATGTTTGTGTGAAATCAAAACAGTCTTGCACTTTCATTTTTAATTAAATATATAACTCAAAACACATAAACACCTCCTTTTAGACTCTTCAAACTGAAATTAAATTCCAGTCACAAATGTTACCAATGAGATTAAAGGCAAAACTCAAGAAAAGAAAAAGTTTGAGATATTTAATCTTGGAAAGACTTCTCTTTCAGGTGTGTTATCCTGTATTTATGTACGTGTTTTTTTTTGTTTTTTTTTGTCTGCAGGTGCAGAAACATCTCGTACCCCTCCAATCTACCACAAGTCAGCATCATCTTCATCTTTGTGAATGAGGCGCTGTCGGTCATCCTGCGTTCCGTTCATTCGGTGATCCACTGGACGCCCTCCCACTTGCTCAAGGAGATTATACTCGTGGATGACAACAGCAACAACGGTGAGGGCTTGCTTTTGCCCCAGTGCTGCTTGTTTGATTTGCTGGGGGCAAACAGGGACTGTGGGGGATTGATTCTTGTATGACAGATTATGATGAATAATGCATATGAATGTGGATTCATGTGGAAAGAATATTTGAGGTCTGTAACATGATAACACTAGGGGATTATGGGCAGCAGATGTACATGTATCCCGTATGCACAACTAAATGTTTTATGCTTTGGCATCAGAAGCTAGTCATTTCTCTTAAAAACATTCTAGTCTAGAAGGAGTCAGATTAATCAAGCTAATTCTTTATCCAAAGAGAAATCTACTCCCATTTTGCATATCATCTGTTCTAAATATTATGTGAGATGTAATGTACCTTGTGCATCCATATATGCTGCTGTGGCTTAAATTTATATTTGTGCAAATACATAATATACTTTATATCAGTCCATGCATTCCCTGGCAATAAAGTAAAATTAATTTAAAAAATAAATAAATATAGTATCACATACAGTGCCGTATAAATGGGTTTGTTAACTTAAATTAGCTGCCTCATGTCCATAAGGAGTTGTTGAATATAACTTGCACATTGGAGGTTTTAATACAACATTTGAATTGAATTACATTACATTTTTCTGTTCAAATTAATAGCGGTAGAAAAGGTAAAAAATTATAAATAAAAAAATATTTTAAAGATATACTAAATTGTTGATAATGTTTTACAGATAAATATAGTAATGATATATACTACTACTAATAATAATAATTAATAATATTAAATATAATTAATATATAATTAATTAAATACAATAAAGCCAACCTTAAGGTAAAAATAATAAATAAAAAGTAAGGTTTTAAAGATATTATTAATTATAATTGTTAATATTTATATTTTGCAGATATTTTAATATTAATTCAGTTCAATTCAATTCAAGTTTATTTGTATAGCGCTTTTCACGATGCTAATCGTTGCAAAGCAGCTTTACAGAAAATTTAAGTTTGTACATTATAGCAATGATTATATATTGCGATCAAACTTATAGCAAAATTTGGTAGTTTTGTATGTTGTCTGAGGGGTTGGCATCATCTCTTCTCAGGTGTTCGGTCATCTCAGGTCTTTATATTATATATATTATATATGTTAAGATACACTGTTAATGTAAGAAAGGTAAAAGTAAATAAAACATGAATATTAAAAAAAATTATAATAGTTGTTAATAATATATAATATTTTATTATATAATATCAAATATTTAAGATATGCTGTCAGTCAATAATAAATAATGCTTGTTAATAATTATGATTTTACAGATATTGTTTTAATATGATTATATAATGTCAAGTATATAAAATACACTATATAATAGAATATACAATATAATAGAATTAATAATTTAAAAATAAATATTTAAAATCTACAAATAATGTATAGTAATGTTTTGCTTAATATTAATACAAAATAAGTAAGATACACTTTCAACTTAAACTAAAAACAATAAATAAATATTTTAAAGATTAGTAATTTAATCGATTCTTTCAGTTTTATTTAAAAAAACAAAAACAAAAGTAAGACAGATATGTAAATATCTTGTCATTATTTTTCACACACTGTATAAATAGATCTGTATACACTGAAATATAATATATAACTGCCTTTATATTGTGTCCCTGCTAGGGGATAAACAAATTAGTTGGTCCTTGACATCAAAATGTTTGAAAAGCCCTGTGTAGACTGTTGGCTTAAGAATGGCTATTTTCTGAAGATAATTGCTGACTCTGTGCTGTAAAGTACACTACTGAGGTGGGTTTATCCCAGGCGGTTCAGAAAGCAAAAGCTTTTATTTACTCCCAGTCACCTCTAGAGTATTTGGTTTTTCCAGAATAATGACTTCACAGTGGTTATGCTACAGTGACCTTTTACTCGGCGTGTGTGGGATATGGTAAGGGGGCAGGGCGGTTAACGTGAGGTGCAGAGGTTTGGACATTTCATTCTCCCACAGATTGATAGTGGCCCCACGTCACACCATCTGGTTGCCATGGTGAGACAGGATGATGGCTTTCTCCCTAATAAAAACAAACAGCACAGGAGACAGATGGGAGGGGAGTAATCACCAGCAGACAGCGGTAGAGACTCCAAATATCACAGACCGCTGGCAAATATTAGTATCTGATGTTCGCAGCATTTCAGTTCATGTTCGTAATTCCCTGAGAGGTCGAAGGGGGAGACTATATAAACGAATTTTGATTAGAATGTAATAAAAGTCAGGTACATGTGTCAGTAGGGTCTCCCCGCTTCATTTCTGAGTACTGAAACTTTCTCAGAGGCCACGAGAGTGATTTTAGTAAAAAGCAGGTATGAGGTATGAATTTTCAGATTGCATAAAGAGACTATTTTTCAACTATTTTCCCCTCTTTCCTTCACTTCACGCAAAGCTGAACTGTCGGAAAACCTGCAGAGGTTTGTGGACGAGACCAACCAGCAGCGTCCTGACTTCATTAAAGTGGTTCGGCATGATAGGCAGGAGGGTTTGATTCGCTCTCGGGTCAGCGGCTGGAGAGCTGCGACCGCTCCTGTCGTGGCCCTGTTTGATGCCCATGTGGAGTTCAGCGTTGGATGGTCAGTGACACTTGATTTTTAAAATCATTTTGCTGCCAGTACTGGACATAAAAATTTTATAAAGTTTTTACTTATGTTGTGTAAAGTTCTGATGTTTTCAAAATATGATTTAGAGTTTATAATAAAATTCATATAATACAATTTATAAACAATTTACAATAAATGATTAAATTAAATACAATAAATGACAAAATATTATTTTATAATAAAATGTGTATGTATACAGGAAACAAAGGCGTTCATTCATGAAACATATTCCTGCATATAAAATCAGTGTAAATTGTTTGTAAAACCATTCTTATGGAAATTGCCGCATTGAATTGAACAAGACAGTACTGTATATGTAAAAATGGCTTTATGAAGAATTTGCACAGAACAAAATATTCATAAAGTTTTTCAACACAACTATTTGCAGAGTTTTCTGAAAATGCCCTTCTCCGTTTGGCATTCAAACAAATAGAAAATCGATCTAGCCTCCAAATAAAACAACTATTACTGCAGAGATGCTCATAGACATGCATCATTTAATTCAAAATCTAGTTGTGCTGCCTTTTACATGCTGAGAATTCAGATTTGCTGTAAATAGGCCTTCTGCGTAATGTTGTTTTTGCTCATTGTTTGTATGGAGTGCTGTAACTTTTACCTTTATTGCTCTTTTGACCCCAATACAAAGGAATTCATATACCTGCTTGCCTAACAAATCACATGTTAAGCCAGTGTAACTGTTAAAATGTAGGAGACCTACAGTGCATGTGGATGGAAATGCCTGTTCTTCCCTGTGGGTGTTAGGGCAGGAATATGAGCAGAAGTGCCTGTCTACTGCAATTACTGTGCTAGGTGCAGCTGTCAACTTAGATACCTGTTAATTATTCTCTGTGCAACATGTGGAAAAAAACACCTCTAAAGGGCTTGGATGGAGTCCAGTGTATCCAAGTGTATCTTATGCATGTCAGCTTATTCCTGCTTGAAATTTATGCTGCGTTCTATCAGTTCATGCAGTGTCGATCCTAGACTTCTGGGGGCCCTACGCTTGGGGTGGGGAGGGGTGTGGTATGAGTGGTTATGAACGAATGAATGAAATGGATTTGTCCGTGTTTCACTCCGTCTCGAATCGCGCTCACGGAAAGCGTTTGAGAAACAGTGTCTCTTCCGCAGCTCGGTACACTTTCAACTCGTTTTTTTTTTGTCTCGAGCAAGACTGTACAGCATTCACATTACATGATTTGACTGATTTTTACGTAGAAAGGGCAACAGCGCACCGCATTAAAAGAAATGATCATTCATGTTTTCATAACCGCTGGTCAAATTCAAAAACAAAACTAAAATTAAATCATCTTTGAGAGCCGGGGTGGGGGTCATGGATGCATTTCTCTAAGGTTCGATGCAGTTTTTGCAGAGTGGATAGCACAGCTTTTAGCTAGCCTGAGGCTAATTTCTGAGTTCAAACGCAGTGCTAATGCCTGTCTTCACAACTTTTGAGATGGTCTTTTAAAGTACCGTTATCTCCCACAATGACATTTTAAGTTTTAGATCGATGGGTTCTGAGGAGTCATTGCTCGCCAAATTGAAAACTACAATCACCTTTAATAATCAAGTGTGAAATCGCATTTCGCATGCAGTGGCTTGGGAGGGACTGCATTAAACATGGTACTCTAGGTTTTCAGAGCTCTCAAGAGACAAATTAGATAGATCCATTCAAAAACTACTGCCCATGAATTTAAAGCATGTTCTGTTTCTGTTGATCTAAGGGCTGAACCAATCCTGCACAGAATCAAAGAGGACAGAACCCGGGTCGTCTCGCCATCATTCGACAACATCAAATACGACACATTTGAGATCGAGGAGTATCCCCTCTCAGCTCAAGGGTTCGACTGGGAACTTTGGTGCCGCTATCTAAACCCTCCCAAATCCTGGTGGACACAGAAGAATCAAACTGCTCCAATCAGGTAATCACACAAGATACGACCACCATCAGCTCAGTGGTTCTACAAAAACCACTTTTTGAGAAATACAAAATCACTGTTTAATTTCCCTTACAATGAGTCTTATATGCTGAACAATAACCAAAAATGTTTTTTGTAAAATATCTGAATCTTTTTTTTAGATTACCATTTTTAATTAATACAATGGTATATCTTTAATTTAATTGGAATATTACTATGTGGAATATATAGATGCCAATAATGGTTCCTGGTTTATTTTGATTAAGGCACAACTGTAAACTGACTCACGGTTCAGTCAGTTGTGAACTCAGAATTGGCTCTGATTCACTGATTGAGCCTAATTTAAACCTCTAACTCACAAGCAAATTCAAGACTGAATCTGAATCTTCTCGACTGACTCACGATCTTGGAGCCCTCCCTTCGGACAACACGCCAAATATCTATACTATTTGCTCAATCTGATTATATATAAGAACCTGTTAACTGGTTCTCAAGAATCATTTGCCAGTGAATCGGATATTCTGGTTTGCACTGTGTTTGTCATGTGCAGGAAAAACTGGTGCACTAACTTATGTAAACTTATGAACTAACTAACGGCCACATCACGACATGATATCTGTTAATTGGTGACTCAAGAAACTGGATCAGACTTCACACAATGCTCAATGTCAATTTACTATGTTAACATAGTAAAATACCTTCTCATAAGTCATTTGACTTCATTGTTGCCGTGTGTATCGCCTCTCTCAACAGGAGCCCCGCTCTGATCGGTTGCTTTGTAGTGGATCGGGAGTATTTTGAGGAGATCGGTCTGCTGGATGAAGGCATGGAAGTTTATGGAGGGGAAAACGTGGAGCTAGGGATCAGGGTAAGAGAAATTCATACTGCCAATGAGAGTTTTGAAAGTGCATCAGGAGACAGGATGTCTGGAGTTTGAGTAGACGAGCAGATGTGTGTCAATGAATAATGCTGTTTCATTTGATGAAAAGATGCTTTATGCAGGTTGTTCTTTGAGGGCAGATGGATATGTGGAGGTTTGCAGCCTCTGGTTACAGATAGACCTGTGTGTGTGTGTGTCAATGCACACAATTAAAGTAGATCTCTCTGTGGCTTGCTAATGATAACCTGCCAAACATACATCTCGCTCCAAACTGGCCGGGTCCTAACCTCTCACTATTACACATGTACGGAGCCCCATCGAGACCTCTGCCGGCTCCCATCAGACCAAGCAGCCCTGTAATTAGCCTCCTCAGTCAGAATCCAAGCCCAGAATGGAGCTCGCCACAGCAGACACACAGCCTCTTGCTCTCACTGTGATTTGGCCTAGCAAAGTTGCAATCACTCCACTCAGGTTGCACCTTGACAATATCGAGCAGATCAAACCCCCCCATTACACACATAGATTTTTTTTCTGGGTTTCATCACTAAGAGCCTCAATGAGGAGAGAGAAAATGAAAATGTCTCAGGAAGTGGCAGGCACCATGTGTGCGGTGGGATTTGGTACTGCGTGGAGATAATGGGCCTCAACATCTGTTCATACAGCTGTGCCTCTACAGCCTAATTCCACACTCTCATCTTCTGAGCTCCTTTGTGCCCCCGAATCTCCAAACGCAACATCGCACAAATGTTGCAATCCTGCAGACTTTGCCAAAAAAAGGAGGGGGAAAAACTGAAAGTTTGTCCATCTTTCTGCAGCAGGTTTTTGAAGGTCTGTAGTTCAGGCATGATATTAAGATAAATTTTCTTTGTCATTTGGTTGCATTCTTAGTTAACAGATGCTATATGCAAAAATAAATAAATAAATAATCAATATTTGTTTTCTTGGTTTGCAGTTGAAAATACCTAAAAACCAAAAACTATTATTAATTAATTATTTCATTTACATTTTAGCTTAAATAAAACAATAAATGCTAATTTCCAAGTAAATTTTATTAGATGTTTAGGTTCTGCAACAAATAAAAAAAATAATAAAGCAAAACAAAAGCACTGATAGTTTTGTTGGTTTTTGTTTGTTTATTTAGTTAGTTAGCATTGTAGCTCATTCTCTGTGGTATTGTTTTTGGAAAGAGACCAGGTCTTAAATGTGAGTTGCATTTTTAGATCACTGCAAAAAATAATTTTTAATCAGTATTTTGTCTTGTTTACAGTGGAAATACCTCAAACAAGATCAAATGAATTAAAAAGCATCTTGCATCTGATTTTTAAGACTTGTTTTCAGAGATTATATTTATTATTCATTTTGAAAATGTTTTTATCCAAAGTAACTTACTTGCTTTTTGCTTTTATAACAAAGTATTTTTTTTTGAAGAAATAATTTGCCAGTGGTGTAAGACAAACTTAATGTAAGGTATTGTTTGTGTTCATTTGCATTTTTGTTTTGAAAGTAAAACTTATTTTAAATACTATACATTATTATGCTATAATAATGTAATATAATAATAATAATAATAATAATAGTAACGATTAAGATTTATTTTGTAATTTAACAACATTCTATACTGCAGTTATGTTTTGAAGATATTTTGATGGACAGTTTTCTAAAATTACACCTTGTCAGTCAAACTCATGCTGGAGGCACTGAAGCAAAAGAAAATGTCCTGTTTTGCTGACCCTCATTGACATTGTGTTAACAGGAGCTATTTTCACTTTGAAAGAGGGTACATGCTCAATAAAAGGTCAACACATCTGTTCTCTTCTATTCTTAGCTCTCGATAAAGGGCTCTTGTTTATCAGTGATTGAGAATGAAAACTGTCTTTGATCATGTCAGATGTCAGCTTGGTTTTATTTGCAATCTGTTGTGGTTCCAGGTAAAGAGTATTGACTTTGTCAGTAACGTCCCTTTTGTGACATGCTTATTGCTGGTTAATTTGGGCAAGGTAGGGGGAGCGTTAAATTGTTTTGTACAAATAATAGGCCTGTTCAAATAATAGGTAATATCAGGCAACATTATTCATTATTCATATAATAATAAAAAAAAAAATTCTGAGTATATATCATGAAATACTTTGTTCCACTTAATGTTTTATTATTATTATTATTATTATTATTCTGTTGTTGTTGTTAATTATATATATATATATATATATATATATATTAGTCTTAAGAATGAAACAAGAATCTTTTGTATACATTATAAATTTTATATTTTGTAAATATTAAATGTGAGGTTTAAATTAAAACAATAAAGTAGTAAATTTAGTAAATTTGATTTCTTAGATGTTTAGATAAAAAAAAAATTTAAAAAGCGAAACAAAATCAATGATAAACTGATTTTTTCATTGTAGATCACTCCAGGTGGTGTTTTTTGGAAAGTGACCAAGTCTTAAATGTCTCCCAGACAATATAAGGCCGTTTTTATTCTCATTTCATGCTTGTGAAATTTGCTTCTTTGCGACAGATTACAGACTGAATGTCTGTCTGCAGCAGGTATTGTATGCAAATGTGAGAAATGATTTTTTAATGCTTCGGGAGAACAGACGGCTCAGTCATGGATCATTGGGATTGTTGTCAACGATTATGCATATGAATCATTCTCCTGGCAAATAGGAACAACACACATCTGTCCACTTCCTGTTGAATCCTGTCCAACGAGTCATAGCGTTAAAAGCCTACCAAACAAGCAGATCAGAATGAATACGATCCCCCCCTTTCCCATTCATACAAATAATCAGATACAAAATACACAACCAGGGTCTCTTGATAAACCAACTTTTAGTTTGATGCAAACTGGATGCTTTTAAATATACAGTTCAGTTGCACTGAAATGACCCTGACATATGCCTCAGCCAGATGTTGCACTTCATATTTCACCAAACCAGGCCTGAACGAAAGTGTTTGGGTGTGAATGTATGAATGAAGTGCAGCACGCTGGCATGTGGCCTATATAATCCCGTGTGTAGATTTACTACAGAGATACTCTCAGTTTAAAAGCTCTGCAGGAGTGCAGTGGGTTGGGAAAAACCAAGAAAATCAAACCCACACACAGAAATAAGCTGCCATTTTCCATTTTGAGCAGCATAACGTGTGCTAATTGAGGGTAAATCAATAAATAAACATGTATTACATGAAACCGCCGCAGCAAAACAGCAGCGTTTTGTGATTTTTTTCTCTCCCATCTTTACTGACACACCAGGTGGTGACCACGCTGTTAAATTTCTCAATGTCAGCCGCGTGTCAGGCAAATATGTTGAATTCTAGCAAGTTAAATGGCCTGTTAGAGCTTTCAAATAGGTCCTTTCGAAATTCTCCTTACCATGTGGTGAAAGGCACCAATATTGTTTTGTAAATGAAGAGCCGATTTAGGAGTTTAGTTTGAACAAAGAGCTCCGCTGTGTGAAAATTAGTAACCTTTAGTTGATAATTATAGGAAATGAACGTCCTTGATTTGAAGTGTATTGTTTAGCTTATTTGTTTCAACAAAGCCTTTTTATTTCAATAAGGTACAGTACTTTTTGTTCCTTATGGAGTGTTGTTTTTTATTCAGTAATTTGGTTTATTCTGCTATATGACTCACATACTCCCTAATGACTCACAAGAACTGTTTTTGTGGACTGCCTAAAGCAATGGATGTTAAAGGGCATTTTCAAAAGCAAATTTTTCTTCATCCTTGTCAAAATTCAAAACAAGAGACATTCATGTGTGTGTAATCAGGTATGGCTGTGCGGTGGAAGCGTGGAGGTCATGCCCTGTTCCAGAATAGCTCATATTGAGCGCGCACACAAGCCCTACACAGAGGACCTGGCAAATCACGTCCGCAGGAACGCTCTGAGAGTGGCCGAGGTGTGGATGGACGAGTTCAAGAGCCACGTTTATATGGCCTGGAACGTTCCACAACAGGTACTACACCTCTCACTCGTACTTTATATGAGTAGTTGAAGCTCTAAAATCTGAATGGATTGAAATCTGGGATTCAGAATCTTACTTACAGCAGGAAATAAATAGTAGCTGATAGTAGTTTTTAATTGTGAAATTAAAAGAAAATAAATCTTACACAATTTTACATAAAATCGACAAGAAATATTTAAAAATCGGAACATTTCTAAATCAACAAATAAACAAACTTGTGACACTGACTATGTGAACTTCCCACAAACTTTCATTCAAATTATTTTATTCATATACTATTTTCACTGAAAGTGCTGATAATTTGTAATTTAAAAAAATTGTAATATACACTACCATTCAAAAGTTTGGGGCCTGTAAGATGTTTTAATGTTTTTGAAAAAAAAGTCCCTTATGTTTACTAAAAGCTACATTTATTTGAAAATATGCAGTAATAAAAGGTAATATTGTGAAATATTATTATAATTTAAAATAACCGTTTTTATTATATTTTAATATATTTTAAAATGTCATTTATTCCTGTCATGGCAAAGCTGAATTTTCAGCATCATTACTCCGGTCTTCAGCGTCACATGATCCTTCAGAAATCATTCTAATATGCTGATTTGCTGCTCAAGAAACATTTCTTATTATTATCAATGTTGAAAACAGTTGTGCTGCTACATTTTTTAGATATTGTTTTACAGGATTCTTGGATAAATTAAAAGTTCGAAAAGAACAGCATTTATATGAAATAGCAAACTTTCATAACATTATAAATATCTTTACTGCCACTTTTGATCAATTTAATGAATCCCTGTTGAATAAAAGTATTAATTTCTTTCAAAAAGTACTGTGTTATTGATCCCAAACTTTTGAATAGTAGTGTATAAATTAAATTAGAAAAATGCAAAATAGAAGCATTTCCACTTGAGGTCTCAGAAACGTATTTGTATATCAGTAGGCTATGCTAAATTGCTTGGCAACCATAAGTTGCCTACAGTCAATTTAATTATCCTTTGCACATTAGAGTTTTATTGCATTTCGGCTGTCACTGTTTTAGAAAAGAAAAAAGCCACTGTAAGCCAATATCTACTGTGTTTTTTACCCATGGTTAAAGGGGATTTAAGCACTCGTTTTACCTAACAACACACACATTTAACCATGGCATGTTTTCTGTAACACACAGCCTTGAGTGGCTTTCAGTTCTACTGTATATTAGTACATGAATGTGATGTAAATTAAAGGATACGTGCTGGTTTGTCATTTTAAGTGAAGATGTAATGGGCTGAGATGTAATGACCTTGACTTATTTAAGCTAGTCATTAGGGCTTTTTAATGAGCTCTCACTTTTGAGCTGTACATATTCTTCCCATGATGCCCTGAAATGCCACAGCATATAGCATCACTTCACTTGAAGCCACTGTAAGTGCCTGAACCAGGGGCGTAGCATCTGGGTATGCAGGGTATGCACGTGCATATGGGCCTGGGTGGATTGGGGGCCCACTATCACAGACTTAAGCCCAAAGTATACTTCTGCCGTCCGAGTCCGCGCACCGTCCGCATTGCGTACAGTAATTTTCGTCATCAGGAGCATTCACGGACATCCGCACACCCCGTCCACGTACAGCCCAATTTCTGTGACCGCAAGGACAATGCGCGTACAACAGAGCATACGAGAGTGAATTGAGTGCTTGAAAACAAAAGTCCACTAGATAGTGTGCACGCGCCGAACGCATCCCATTTCGTGCTCATGGCAAAGGAAAGGCTCGTGCGCGCATCTGTGAGTGAGACAGAGCGAAACTTGCACAGTGATTTATACCCGGGCCTTAAATTTGTGCCGGAACAAGCCAGATCCAGCACCTCATTAGGGCATGCCCAATCTCATACACCAAACCAATGAAAGATCTTTGTTATGAGCTGTGTTCATATGTTCAGGGAAAGGACTATAATAACAATAATGTTATCAATTATTTGCTATATCCATGTTGAATGTACTTTTAAAAAATTGTTAAGAAGTTGAATAAATGCCGCTAAAAATGGTCCATGCCAGGATCTATTGGATTTGACCGGTATTCGCTTTTCTGTCATTTGTGAAGTGGGTTTCTGAAAATTATGCATGCAGTTTGGCAATTTGGCTGTTGTAATAATGTAATACAGTATTTTAAATGGGTCGCATTTAAGCTTATACATAGGTTTTTCTGAAAAATTAGTCTACGTCTGCACATTTTGGGATATTTTACAAGAATAAAATCTCCAAAATGTAACTCGTACAGTCGCTTAGGTGGATACTTTTTTTCAACAAAATAAAATGCACATAAACTGTGATGGAAACATATTTACAAAAGAAACTCCTTGTAAATTTATTAGGAATAAAAAATGTGCATTAAAAAAGTCTGTGAATGAATAATTCATTCATAACTGTAACAGGAATAATCTTAGGACTCAGCATCACATCTGAAATGGTGCTCTGATCATTCTGAAATTCCAAGGCCAGAGTCGAATCAGTTGACAATTATAATTTTTTTTAAATAGATCTACAATGCAAAGTCATAATGATGAAGGTGCGCATAGACTGTAGTGATCCTAGAACTGACATGCCTTTGTCATGAAATTTTTAATAAAAATGTTAATATATTAATATCACAACAGAGGGGGGCCGTTACATTTTTTTTTGCATATGGGCCCGAGGCTGACTTGCTACGCCACTGGCCTGAACATGAAGGACTGAGATAAATGTACATTGACTCAATAAGAGCTTTTCTTCCACCGCATTCCTGAGCATCATGTTCTAGCTGTTTGATTCTGCACTCTATAAATGAATTATTGTGTTCTCACGACTGCATGTGCTTGTGGGTGTTTGTGTGTGCAGGACTCAGGGATCAATATTGGTGATATCAGAGAAAGAAAAGCTCTCAGAGAGAGACTCCGCTGCAAACCCTTCAGCTGGTTCCTGAAGAATATTTATTCTGAGATGAGAACCTACACAGAGACCATCGCTTATGGTGTAGTGAGTATCCACTTTTCATCAAATAACAGTCTTCGCTTTAAAGGGTTACTTCACCCAAAAATGAAAATTAGACTGTGTTTTACTCACCCTCGAAGCACCCTAGGTGTATATGACTTTCTTCTTTCAGACGAATCTAGTCGGAGTTATATTAAAAATTGTCCTGGCTATTCCAAGCTCTATCATTGCAGTCAGCGGGTGTTGCAGTTGAACAGTCCACAAGTCGTCAAATAAAGCGCGCGCATCCAAAATAAAACGTGCCTCACACGGCTCCGGGGGGTGAATAAAGGCCTCCTGTAGTGAATGCATGTCCATAAAAATAAAACTAAAATAATAATTTGAAATAAAAAATATCCATATTTCAAACGTAATAAACACTTTTCTCTCACTTCCGGTATCTGTCATACGCGGAAGCCGTTCCTCTCTGAGATATGCTAGTCTCGCGAGTTTGTTTATAGGAGCAAAGGAAGCAAAGTTTCCTTACTTTAGCAAAGGAAAACCAGTCTCCTCTTGGTATCGAAATCCTCAGACATTTTTCTTTGCAAATCCTCGGTTTGTACTTCTAATTCGTGACCAGCGTTTTGTTTTGTTGTCTCTCAGCATTCGTCACTAATCATGCAACGCCGACGTCTTACGTCATCTGCCGGAACGTCTTCCGCATATCACAGATGCCGGAAGTGAGAGAAAAGTGTTTATTACATTTGAAATATGGATAGTTTTCTTACAAAAACGCATGCATTCACTACAGGAGGCCTTTATTCACCCCTCGGAGCCATGTGAGGCACGTTTTATTATGGATGCGCGCGCTTTATTTGACGACTTGTGGACTGTTCAACTGCAACACCCGCTGACTGCAATGATAGAGCTTGGAATAGCCAGGACCGTTTTTAATATAACTCCGACTGGATTTGCCTGAAAGAAGAAAGTCATATACACCTAGGATGCCTCGAGGGTGAGTAAAACACAAGCTAATTTTCATTTTTGGGTGAACTAACCCTTTAAGGTCCATATACAAAACTGATGCCATTTGTGTCCCTCATATACTGTACAAATATGTAAAAATAATTACCTAAAGAATACATAGTGCCAATTTTTAATGTCTTAATAGACATTTTTTCACATCAACAACAACAACAAAAAAATATATATACAGTATATATTTCATTTTAGTGGAATTTTTACAATTTTAGAATATATTTATTGTATTTTTTAGCTTCTGTATTAGCAAATATGTATGTGTGTGTGTATCTGTGTCTATATATATATATATATATACATACACACACACACACATAGCTTTTAGTCTTTATTCTGTCTATATACACATCCTATATACACTATACAGTATCTACTGTATATACACATATACTTTTATTGTCAAGGCTGCATTAAATAGATCAAAAGTGACAGTAAAGACATTTATAATGTTATGAAAGATTTGTATTTCAAATAAATGCTGTTCTTTTTAACTTTCTGTTCATTAAAGAATCCTTAAAAGAATGTATCGTGGTTTCCACAAAAAAATATTAATTAGAACTATTGTTTTCAAAATTGATTTCAACATTGAAATTCAGAGAAATAAATTATATTTTATAATATATTAAAATCTAAAACAGTTATCTTGAATTGTAATAATATTTCAAAATATTACTTTTTAATGTATTTTTATTTTTATTACATTTCTGATCAAATAAATGCAGCCTAGGTGAGCATAGCTTTTGAACGTTAGTGAATGTTTTTAGATTTTAGTTGACAGAATGTGTTTATTTAAAAAAAAAAGACTTGAAGTTGTTTCGCCAGATTATGCATCAACTTTGTTACCCTCCTTTTTAAAGTAATGAGCTATTCCATAAATCAAAAAAAAAACTTTCTCATCATCCTCATATCAGGAAGTGAGCTCTTCAAAGACAAGTTTCACTCATTTATTATCATTTTATCTTGTTTTGTTTCGCTTATTAGGTCTTCAAATGTCAACACCGTTACCATCATTTTCTGTATTAATCAAATGTGCAAATCCATAAGTAGATATTTATCCGTTCTAAAGGCATAACAATATAATAACATAGTCAAATTTATTAAATTAGTTTGACATAGCTCAGTGCAGTTTATTAGCAGTTTATTAGACAAATCTGATAGATGACATTGTTTCTCATAATATTGAGTTATAGAAACAGTTTATACTAAATATTATTTTTCTTACTCGAGGCCTGCCGTTTCTTCATTTATCACGATGCAGGGCCAGCAGAGTGCTTTTCCTAATTGGCATTCTTTTGTGGAATAGGATAATTAACAGCTCCATTGTGAAGACAAAGGAAAGCTGAGCTCCAGGGCATTTTCACACACATTGGCTATTAGTAGACAGAGGAAGAAAGATGGTTTATGCGTTCTTAATCCATCTTCTCCTCTTCGGTTTTGCAGTGTGAAATGGGTCTGATGTGCCAGTTCATATATTGCATCTTTGTGTGTGTGTGTGTTTGCATGTAGCTGAGGAACAGCCTGAGGCCGGATCTGTGTGTGGATCAAGGTCCCGACTTTGACAACATTCCCATCCTGTACATCTGCCATGGCCTGACGCCTCAGGTTAGTATCCAGTCCACTGCACCTTCTGGCTTTCATCCTTTTTCAGTCATCAGAGCATGTGTAATTCATTTATATGTAAGTGCTCATGTCTGACTCCATCATGTCTTCTGCTTCTCCTTCCATGTTTCTCACTATATCTGCATAGTACGTGACATTAAACATTTCTAAGAACTTATTTTTGACCTAGAGATCAAGAACAGGAAATAACGGGTAGAAACGGGTAGAACAGGACCAGAAAACATTACGAGTTTATTTGAACCATCACCTTTGTACACACGTGGCTAAGTGTTTTAGAGCATGTGTGTCATTATATCATTATTTATAAATTATAAAAATAATAATTTTTAAAAATATTTAAATATTAGATATTTTATATATTGCTAAAAAAAATACTATATATTAAAATATTACACAAGATTATTTATTTTATCATAATATGAATTATTATTAAATATTTTATATGATTCCTGCAATCTACAGAGGTTAAGCATTTTGGAGAATGGATGAATTTTATGTAATTGTTCTCTCTCTCTCTCTCTCTCTCTCTCTCTCTCTCTCTCTCTCTCTCTCTCGTGGCTGTATTAGATCAAAAGGGTGCTTCTACTCTAAATACTGAGCATGTGGTATTTCAGTTTTTCTTTTTTAATAAATCTGCAAAAATGTCAACAATTCTGTGTTTTTCTGTCAATATGGGGTGCTGTGTGTACATTAATGAGGAAAAAAAATTAACTTAAATGATTTTAGCAAATGGCTGCAATATAACAAAGAGTGAAAAATTTAAGGGGGTCTGAATACTTTCCGTACCCACTGTATATATATATATATATGTGTGTGTGTGTGTGTGTCTGTGCAAATATAGATATACATTTAAGTTCCCTACTAGCCAGAATATGTTTGCATCATTTACAGTACATTTCATGTCTGTTTGCACACTTAAACTGACTTCAATCATTCTGATAGGATGTGAGCAGTAAGAGCATATCGCCGTCTCTGTACTTGTGATGCTGGATTTGTTTTATCTTTAATGGGCCGTCAGACAATACCTCAGCTAAGCGTATTAACACCGTGGCAGTTACAGCGATCTATCTCGACACATTAAAGAGCCACAAAACGGTATTGTTTGAATTTCTTACAAAATGACCAAATTTGAAAGCTAAGACTTTGTTTCATACCTGTAACATACAAGTAACCTGCTCTGTCTTTTTTTGTCAGCGTGTTGTCAGTGTCCTCTTTTCTCTACAATGTATTTTTCACTGCGTGAGAACATGATGTGTGGTGTGAGAGCGCCATGGCTTGGGGGGCTGGACTTTGCAAAGAGTCAAATCAAAAAGATTCATTACTCTGAAACAAAATATTTTTGCCACTACACAAAGGTGTTAATTACAATTGACATATTCATTTGAATATGATTCTTCCTTCAGTTTGTTTAGTGAAAAAAAAGTAAAAAAATAAAAAAAATTGTATGAGATTTTTTTACATTTCTAATTTAACCCTCATTTAAAAAAAGTTGTTGGATACTTTGGTTCATTTATGTGAATCAGTTCAAATTGTCCATTCCAATGAATCGATTCATAACATAATCGATTGATGACTTCATGAAGCAAAACATTTAATTGTGTCACCACACAAAAATGTGAATTAAAATGTAGATACTAATCTTAATATGATTTATCCTTTAGTTCATTTAGTGAAAACAGTGTAGAAAACACGCATTGATTCATTTTAATATATATATACAACTACGGCTGTTATAAATATTTTAAACCATTTAAGAGCAAACACATAAATACTGAGATACCAAAAGATTGGAAAATATAAACATTGAATTTGTATAGCTATATCATTCATCCTTATTCCCATCTTCTGTACAAAGGCTCTGCATACTTCAGTTGTTTAATTCATGGTGAAAATGTGAGTTAAAAGACATTTCTTCCTTTATGAAGATTTCTCTTTTATGAAGATTTGGCTTGTATACGCTTGGCTTGCGCTTTCCCATCTTCCCGTCACAATTGATCTCAGTGTTTCACAGTAATACACTGTCAACTTATTGCAGCCCATAAAACCGTCATTGTATTGCATAAAACCTCTTCATTATTTTGTGCTGAGGCCCGAAATATGAATTTTTGAACAGTTGGGCTGCTCGAGGCAATCCAGTCTGTTTTTTTTTATTTTTTTTATTCCTGTTCTTATTCCTAGTGTATTACACAACCAGGTTCCACAACAAACGATGTCCTGCAAAAAATACTGTAAAAATAGGGAACTTTCTCCATAAAGTATCGACTCTCCGGGGGATTTTGAATTTAGACAGATTCCAGGGCTATAGTCACTATAATGAATTTCAATAAAGATCAGTGACTTAGAACACAACCAGGGAGGGTTGTTTCACCACCACAGGGGCATCATTTAGATGAGGAAGAATTGTAGAATGTGAATATGTGACAGAGATATATAAATGAGAGAGAGCGAGAGGGAGGGAAAGACAGAGAACAGCACTGTCAGCATGATTTTAACTACTTAGCTGGGTCTCTTACACCTGCTGAATTCATATCCATGTGTGCTTCCACTTCTCTTATTGGAAACGACACAATGGTGCCAAGCAATGCAGTATAATGTTTTCAGTTTCTATTCTTGCTGATTCGAAACATTTTAGAATCTGTTGAGGAAATCAGAAATACACCACTGCTAATTATAGGAAATTTTAGAGACCCCGGGGCTTTAACTTGTTATTGTTGATGATATGTAGCATTTATTATTATAATTGTAGGATATGTAGTATATTATTATTATTTATTATATTATTATATTATTTTGTATATATAATATATTATAAGAATGGCGATGCTTCCCGTTTTAAGTGTCAGTAATTGATGGCCTTTCATTTAACCGGAAATGCGCAAGCTGCTTTTCTGATTTTCATTTAAGTATTCCGTGTCTTTTTCCCGTGTCACTTGAAATGTGTCCGTTTTGAATCATTGTGGTGAAACACGTGAGGAAAAAATAAACGATCAGTTGTGCGACTATTCTGTCATAAATCGCATACTGTTCATTTCTGAACTTTCTACCGTCCGTTACTGGGAATGAAATTACTGGTTGATATGTCCCGATATCGATAAGTTTACACCAAGCGGCAACCTTCCGGTCTCTCTCGTGAAACCAACACGGAAGTGACTAAAATTGCAATTCCTCGACTGGCCGCCAGAGACTGGCTCCAAAAGGGAGTCAGTCCCATAGACTCCCCATGTTAAAATGCCCAACTTTACAGCAGAAAAAAAAATGTTTACAGCCTGGTACAAAAAGTGGTTTTGGTCTATATAGCTAATTTTGCCCTTTGCCCATTTTCAATGATCCGGGAGTGACGCGCTACCAAGATGGCGACAGCCGGATCGGCCCACTTTGAGTTTCAAAAACGCTCTTCAGAACCTACGGGTGACGCCACGGACACTACGTCCATGTTTTTATATAGTCTATGGTTTACACATGCTTTTAGTCCGTGAACTGGATCTCACTCAGGACGCGTGCTGTCTGTGGAAGTTTGGCTCCTAAGTAAGAGTCCAGAGTAAATCACCTAGGGATTTTTGTCCCGTCCGTTGCTTATTGCTGATATTTCGAGAATGAATCCAGCATCATTCCCGAAACTTTGCAGCATGTATGTGTCCGAAAAACGAAAGTATGTGGGGGCGTGTTAGAACGAGCCGTTTTAGGTAGGCGTGGCTGACTCTTAACTTTTATAAAGAATATATCTTTAGATTTGAGACTTTAGTCTTTGCAACTTTACAGATCTTCTTTATGCACCAAGAGCATGTAATACTCCAAAGAGAAAGGAAAAATTTAAATCACATCATATGACCCCTTTAATGGGCTGTCAGACAATGCGTCAGCTAAGCGTATTAACACCGTGGAAGAGCATGTTGGAAATGGAGCATAGACACGCTCGTTCTTTCTTTCAGTGCGTATCTCCCATTCATTGGGCAAAAGGAACATTGTTCCCATACAACAGCCATAAATCTCTCAAGAAGTCAAAAAGCAGACTTTTCCTCAAGCAGAAACAGTGCTAAATGAGTCCCTAGCAAGTTGAGTCCTTATTTTTCTTCTCTCTTATATTATTCCCTGTCCCATTTTAGCCCTCCATCCCTTCCTGTCACAGATCCAGTGCTCATCAAAGTATCCCGACGGATGTGCATTGTTTCCATTGTGAATGAATGATTAGTTGTTTTATGTTTCCGTGGAGATGCACTCGCTGCCTGTTCAGCCTTTGTGTTCACAGAGATTTTCATTTCAAGGTGCCTCACAAAAGAGTAGTTTTGCATTGGTGCCATTCCAAAGTTAAACAATTTGATTTGATTTTACTGTAGGCTCAAGTGTACCGCTGTATTCTGAGAAAAATGTCTTGACATACATAATCAGTCTCAGTGGAAAGCATGGTAGCTCCCAAACGATACCTGAGATCAGAATTGATTTGGACCTGAGGAGAATAGGAGAATGCCTAGCTCTGTATCAGATATCGCAGAACTGATTGTAACAAATTTTGGATAGCCAAAAATCGGTCTGGACGGTATACAACCAATTTAATCTATGTATTTGAGAGAAGTATGCAGTTTTGTGATGCGCTGCATGAGCTATCTAATGTTAGCACTTCTCAGGCTCAGGCTTTTGAAGTGAAATATCAATCCATCCGGACCCTGAAAAAAAATGTGGGCATATTGCATGAAATGAATTCTTTCTGAAAGTGCTTGTTTTTCAGTAAGGCGAGGGATTAAGTATGAGTGCTGATTCAGGGCATGGTCCAACGAAATGTGCATTAGTGATTCAAAGCAAGTGTTGAATATCAGAGACTTTGCTTTTTAAAATATATATAAAATAATATATAATTATTGTTGTTGTTATTATTATAGAAAATATTTTACATAATTTCTGTAAGTAGATCTTTTAATTTCACAAAGCATCAGAAATGTTATAGTTATGAAAATGGAAATAAGTGAAAGCGATGAACGAAAATCAGGGCTGAATACTTTTTGTACTTTATTGTAAGCAATATTAAGATTATTACTTACCAAATCATTGTATGGTGAAAATAGTTCTCTAAAGGTGGTATATTATTTCCAGTGGAGTATGCATCAGTGTATTTATTTTGTTAATATTACCCACAACCCCTTGCACTATTGAAAATAAATTTGTGACTGTATCTTTTAAATGTATACACCTAAAAGCGAAGTAATTTATATAGCTAAGTGTTAACACTTACACAGAAACAAACAGAACATGTATCAAGGTGCAGTTGTTAAATGTCCCATTACTGACTTTCTTTCTACTTACTTAAAAGTATGTACTTTCCCATCACCAGCCATGTACACACACTTTAAGTGCTTTGTAGAAGTAGCCGATTGGCATTCAGCCCAAGTTTGAATGGTGGGTATGAAATAAACAAATGAGAGTCAGTCGATAAGAAAAAAGTTATTCTTCCCTCTTGAGCCCATTAGGATGCAATACTAGGTATCAACACTAAGATTTGGCTCTGAGCCACATCGTCTTAGAGATTTCACAGGAAAGACACAATTATCAAACATGAATAAATCATTTTATTGGCTGGGCAATACAGAGCTAAATAACACGTGCTGTCCAAACAGATATTCAGTCGGCCCAAATGAATGGATCAGAATGATAAAAGATATGTCATGACATTACAACTTTCTTGTTATTGTGGGCTTGATATATAAGGCCTATGCTTCAGTACTTATATTATTACAATTTAAAATAACTGTTTTCTATTTGAATATATTGTAAAATGCAATTTATTCCTGTGATTCAAAACTGGATTTTCAGCAGCCATTACTTCAGTCTTCAGGGTCACATATATATATATATATAATTTGTACACGTTTTTATATATATATATATATATATATATATATATATATAATTAAGCATGCTTTTCTCTTCTGTTGTTTTAGAATGTGTACTACACAAGCTCTCAGCAGTTGCATATCGGAGGCTTGAGTCCAACCATCGACGACGACGACAACAAGTGCCTGGTGGACGTGAACAGCCGGCCGCGACTGCTGGAATGCAGCTACGCCAGCAGTAAACACATGAAACTCTCCTGGCTCTTTACTCAGGTATACATTCATGGGAAACAATCAATCGTGTACTCAAAACATTTTTTATTCTGGTTTTGGGTTATTTGTTGCCCTACATCTAAATTGGTATGGTAATTGCAGTGGTCAGTTTTTGCTGTCTGGTCTATTTTTTAATGAAGTGTAATAAACAGTGTTGTTTTAGTAGGTATTAATATAGTTTTAATAATATTTTTAAATAGGGTCATTCTGTGTCAAATCAACCAACTTTCAGAAACTTCCCTGGCTCAAATTTTTTGATTTTGCTAATATTTTTTCTGAAGAAAGATAAACATGTATAGTGAGGAAAGCCAAATTATTAAATATCATGGATACTTATTTACTGAGTAATCCACTATTTTGTAGAGGGGGGTCTAAATGGCAATTTTCACCTGTGATTCAGTGCCAAATTACAGAGGGTTAAAAATAACTTAAGATGGCAGCATCAAAATGTTATTTTTACACAGAGATCGGTAGGTCTCTTAGTAAAATCTGATGACTTTAGCAATCTTTGTTGAATTATGTGCCATGGTGACCATTAAAAAATGGGGAAACAGCACTTTTCAAGTTTTTTTCTCCAAAGTGTGAGCCCGGCTTTAGAAAGATGGCAGCATCATTATGTTATTTTTACACAGAGATCGGTAGGTCTCTTAGTAAAATCTGATGACTTTAGCAATCTTTGTTGAATTATGTGCCATGGTGACCATTAAAAAATGGGGAAACAGCTCGTTTCAAGTTTTTTTCTCCAAAGTTTGCATGCCTGTAACTCAAGAAGTATTAAAGATATCTTAATGCCCTTTTAGATATTGCGTCTTAACAAACTTTCCTTTTGGCATCTTCATTTTTAAGGCCCTAAATGGTTCTTTTGTATACTGGAATTTCAATATGGCTCCAGGAGTAAATCATTCAATTGTACACATTTTCAATGGTCAAAAACCAAATGTGGGTCACTTTGCATAAATATATGATACTTTTCTTTTAAAGAGGAATGTCTGAAGAACAAATAATGTTGAAACTAGAGATGTATTTCGTTTCCTTCTGTCAAAACAACTGCATTGAACATACCTGTCTGAGTGCCATAAATATTCTGTTTCCAAACTTTTTGCTCCTATAACTCAAGAAGTATTAAAGATCGCACTATGATTTTAGATTCTAATTCTTTAACTGTTCTTTTGGAATCTACATTTTCAAGGCCCTACATTCTTCAGTCCCAGAGATATGGAGATCTCAATGAGGCTCCATGTCCAGATTGTTGAATATTACCAATTTTCAGTGGTCGAAAACAAAATGTCGGTTGTAATTTTAATATTTAGTGTTTTAATTTTAATTTTAAAGTTTTAGTAATTTTGTTGTTTTTTTGTAATTTTAACTTGTTTTTTATATATATCTATAGTTTTTATAATTTTTTTTCAGTTGTAGTTATTTTAGTTCATCAAGTTAAATGGAAATGAGAAATGTTGCCTTAGCAACTAACTCACATGAAATATGTTATATATATGTATGCATGTATAGTTGTATTTCAGTTAACTCTTATTTGATTTCAAATAATAAAAATATTTTTTTATGGTTTTATTTGTAGTTATAATAAGCTATTATAACCCTGGCCATAAAGAGCTTCATTGTTCCATAGTGGGCCATTACATTCTACACAATCCTCATTACACACAGATGTCCTTTTCTGCACAGCTAAAAGCTTTAAAGTTTTGCCTCTTTGTCGCCATCTCTGTTTGAAAATCTGCAATTGCAGCTGTGTGCGGAATTATTTTCCTTGCGTGGGTTGTGCGGCGGCACGGCTCCAGCGCGGATGAATCTAATGTTTTGAGGAGTATGTGTGGTGGCAGTCACCGCACCGGTGTGGATATTGTACTTTGCACTCACAGATTCTAGCCTACGTCTTGGAATATATGACTCAAATAAGCATTTTCACCAGATATTGTCTTCTGAACAAGTAACAAGTCTGCCACTTTTGTTCTGACCAACTGAGGAAAAAAGCATTACAAT